ATGGGACTAAACCACGGGCCGCCTCAGTCCATGAACATTGACTCGTTTGATCCCGAGCTCAACTTTCACGAGTCTCTGCTGTATGTGCCGTCTCCCTCGTTCCCCTGGCCTCGGCTACAGCCAGGACAGTTGCATTACTCACCTCCCCCCTCCCTTCACCCCTAATGGAATATTCGCCACTGACTCCTCAGCAACACGTATAGTGATGGCAGTGCGCTACCACCTCTCCCTTTTACGCCCTCTTATGAATTCGAAAACTTTGTCACAACTTTTGAAGATCCATTTTCTTACTCGTCTCGCCCGTTCGAGCCCATCTCCAACCAGGATGTCGCGATTGACGAGTCATCTCCCCAGGAGCTGGACAACAAGCTCTTGGGATTCTCTGACCCGATTATGCACGCGAGCGTAGTGGATGAAGCGGGGAGTTTTACAGACCTGGACATGACGGCCGAGCTTTACGGCATGTTCTTTGTCGCTGAAGATGTGTTTGGTGGGGAGAATTCGGGTCGTCCGTTAGAGTTGACGTGTTATCGTCGCAACCTTTGGCAGTGCTCTGGACAGATTACTTTGCCGAGGACCCTGAACAATGTCATGGACGAACAAGGCCAGCATATTGCCATCACAGAACTGTCTGCATCTATTACAGGCATAGAATCGATTGAAGGAAAACCCGCCGAAATCATCTCGATCCCATGGAAAGGCGCAAACCCTCAACTGGAGGAGACCAAAGTCGCGGGTCCTCCCCCTAGCATGACCCTAGATCTAAGCATTGGCCGAGAAATTGATGCCAACAGAGTCTCTCTGCCTATATCCTGGAAGAGATTACAATTTAAACATGCCACGGCCAACAACGGCCGGCGAAAGGGGCTGCAACAGCATTACCTAGTACAGATCAACCTGCTGGGCAAGACCAAGACGGGCGACTACATCAAGATCGCCGAGATACAATCTGGCCCAGTCATTGTTCGTGGGCGAAGCCCGCGCAATTTCGATAGTAGAAAGGACGTACACCTTACCAGCGACAAGAAGGTGGAGAGAAGAAACACAAGCAGCACTGATAATCCTACACCAAAGATGGAGCGGGATAACCTTATGGCTTCCTTGCCTAAATATTCATCAGTAAGTGACAACTTTATGACAAACGCGGATCATACAAATGGCGCCGCGGTACACTTTTCTTTTGCTACAATAGAGACTGACTCTTGGTGTTTCTAGTCAAATGGAAGCGAATGGGCTACGCCACAAGCTGTGCCGCAACCCAACCAGAGCCCGCACCCAGCGAAGCGGATGGCTCTTTCTCCTACAGTCTCCCTCCCGCCAGTTCCGGCCTGGACGGTGGAAAACCCCACGGGGAAGAATCCTCCTCCGGGCCACCGGAACTCCTTCTCACGGCCGCCCAATCCCACGGCCCCCATTACGCTGTCTCTATCAGAAGACGAAAAGAGCCCCAACCGATCAAGCGCTGAGCTTCAGAGCCCGCAGCTGTCCAAGGCTTACCCAGCGAACGGCCAAAATGCCAGCAACAGTCCAGCTGAAGAGGCAGATCCGCTCTACGAATACTTTCCTTTGAGCGTGGACGACTGGTAAGATCTCAGATATCCAAATCCTTTCTTACTTCTACAACAAGAAGATTAACTCGGTACCTATAGGATGCCACCGGTAGATGCTGTTTACAGGCCGCACATAGTTCATCACACGATTGCCCCACCAGAATTCAAAGCTCAGCAGATAGGCCGTAAAGTCAAACGGTACTTTACCGCTGATTAGAGATTTCGGTGTTTGGCTGTGCATAGCATTCTCATAACGAGTGCCCACCAACTATGGCGAATATTTTCTCTTTACTGAGAACATCTTTTTAACGAAATCACGAAGCCTCCATCCAACGGATCGCAGCGTTTCATTGTATCATATAGTGCGGATATCCCCTTCCCGTCTGCGCCGGTAAAGAACCCGTGCGTATTCGAGGGATGTTATTTGTTTGAATTTCTTCAGGTCGTGGGGTCTTTTATTATTATTCAACAATTATGCGACGACATGACTGGGACAGCAGGGACTTTTATACCCAGGGGCTCTTTCTGGTTCTTGTGCTTTTTTATTCGGTTCTATTGTCATTTATTCGATTTCGATTGTGGAGGATGTCGTAGTTTTAAGTCGCGGGGGAGAGCAAGATAAAGTAAAACCATTCGTTGAAAGTTATTCGATGTTGGCTTTCATATTTAGTAAAATGACAAGGTGCCTGCCTATCGTTGAAAGGCCGGCCGTGTATCTCACTAAACGCCTCTATGAGTGCCATGTTTGCCTTTGCCGAAAGTGTGACCATAAAGTCTCATGACGACAGGGAAGTCTAAGCTGCCGTAAAGACGTAAACTCTTGATTTGTAGTAGTCGAATGGACCGGGGAGAGATGTTGGCATATTGTATATGGAATATCGCGTGTGTCCTGCGTGTAAGTGCCTAAAAACATGAAAAACAACGCGAAGGGAAGAGAATAGCCAAAGAGCAGAATAAGTGTCAAAGGAAGGAAAGGTAAAGGTAACACGCAGATGCAAATTTTATATAGCACCTGACAACAAAGCCCCCGAAAATCACACCATTGCCATCACGTCTTGTCCACAAGGGTAGCCGATCACGCCAGGGGAGGATGAAATGAATTATTGTTGAATTGAGGCAGACAAGGCGTGAAAAGACAAGGGAGGCGTATAAGAGAAAAAGAACGTACATGAATCGTGTATAAAGGGCATGCTCATATGCGATGAAACGTAGCTGTCGTTTAAGAAGATTGAACTCCATTGAATTTAGGTGGCACTAGGCGGTCCAGTTTTTTTATTTGCAGCGTGCCTTAGCTCCCGGTCAGCGTCTCGGGCAATTAATGGATGCATCCGTGCCTTGGAGAGTTGTATCTCTCTTGGTGTATCTTCTTTTATATGACTTAATAACTTTTTTTTGTCTTCCGTTTGGGCTTGTGCCTGCGCTAATATCGACATCGGAAGATGAGAATGGCATGATCCGAGAATGCCTGCAAGCAATGGCAGGGTAGTATGCACCTGGATGAACGGAAGGCCCTTTTCTTTCTACATTTACTTTCGCGCTCCGGGATGACTGGAGGAAGTAACCAAACTGGGTTGAAATAACAATGAAAAAACAAACATACCATCTTTGTACCGTTGCTTGTGCGTCGTACTGCAGATGAGATATCCAGATGATTGCTTACACGTACTTACATGTGGATTTTTGCGAGCTCTGGTTCGCGGGACGAATTGAGCGGCGATCCTAGCGCTTCATCCTAATGCTACTACAATGATACACATGACAGAATTGTCGGGCTTCAGTGTCGTATCGGCAAATGATACTACAGTATAGCTTTGTTCTCTTTGAGAAAGAAAAAGATGATGTCTTTTTTTCCTAGCCGAGTGGTTGTAGTTGCAGTCGTATTACGCAGTACTACCAAGCATGACCATCATCGTGTCTCGGATGGACGGCAGTCAAAGGGCATTGTATCCACAATTTCGAACCCTGTATGATTCGGCATATTTCGCTAGGGCGATGTGATTCTTTTGGCTGAGAAAAACAAAGAGTCGAGATCGATATTCACAGTGGAAGATTGAAACAGATGGCAAGAAGACAATGTATGGATTGTAAGCTTACAAGTAACGTAACAGCAATTTGCGTACTATGCTCAGTGAAACTTTTACGGCGGCGGCGAAAGTGTTCCAGACCACAGACAATTTTGAAGAAAAATCACGACATTCTTGGAGGATATCCATGGTTTCTTCACTACCCAAATGGGTAGAGCATGCTGGCGTCATTCCGTTGTATATTGGCCAACACATCTAAGAACTTGAAGGGGTGGCATTCAGCGGGTTTACAAGCCTTCTCATAACAAGTGCTTACAGGTTGAGGGGCCAGGAATACAGAGATTCTGACCCAATTTGACTTGCGGCTGAAAATCGTCCAACATGTTCACAGCATTTTTAACCTTCCCTGGGCTTTGCAGGGTGCATACGAACTGTTCCAAGACTTCTTCACAGCACTTTTAGCATTCATTGCACCTAATCATAAAGATTCCACAAAGCAAGGTACGCAAACAGATTTTCATCCTCCGAATTTCTGTTTTACATACACAAAAAAGAAGGGTTAGAATATTTCTCAAATACTCCCAACCCGCCACTCTCTTTGATGCACATGTTTCTAGAAACGAGCTTAGCATTTGTAGCCTTCTCTTTCCCTTCACCCCCACCTATATCAGTATAACCAACAGGATATGTAAATGGGGGAACATGGCCTTTGACGTATCTACATAGCGCCATCTACAACAGAAAAAGAACAATTTTAAGCTTGTATTTATCCTCTCTCTCGGAACTGCATTCCGTATCACTGTCATAGTAGCAGACCGTAATGGATGGGAGGGGCGTTTCCCTCGTCCATGTAGCCCTTTATGAGCTCTATGGTTACTGATGGTTAGGTAGCCAAGATCAGACACCAAGACGTCAAGACGTCAGCCTACGCCCATAATACAGAGCTCTTTCACCCGTTTCACATTACCCAATACTTTGCTCCAATTTTACGCAAAAGTATCTTGAAAGTATTTCCGTAATAATTGAGGCCTGCATATTCATGACGTGCATGTCTTGTCCGTTAGGCAAAAGTCCGACATACGCTCCACCCTAGAGCTCACTGACGACAAATGTTTAAGGCAAAAAGATCCAAAAGAAAATCAAGGAAAGCAAATGATCTCATCTTAGAGAGGCATCGTGGCAAATGGTTAACAATTTCAATCATTCACTCTTGTCATTTTACAATTCTTGTTTTTGCTATCCCTTTTTTGTATTTTTTTTCTCATAGTCATTCTGCGTGGTATACAAATACATCATTTCAATACTCCTAAAGTCATGCCCAAAAAAAGTAACGTCTAAGGTTCCTATGTTGAAAACGAGAGAATAAAGGCAAAAATCAAAGCGAGAGCCAACCCAATTCTAAAACTCCATTCCCTAATTTTCACGTCTAAGCAGTAATGGCGCTCTGAACAGCCTGCTGCTCAGGGTTGGGAGTCAGCCGGTCGGTCAGGTGGGGCTCAGGGATGCGGGAGGCCATGCGGTCCGGCACCAGATCCGGCGACACGGAGCGGATGGGGTACTCGGTAGCCGGAGTGGCCCGGAGGAGGCGAGAGGTGGTGGGCTGGGGAGCGTGGATGGTGGGAGAGGCAACCTCCTCGATGGTGGTCTGGGGGATGGGGCCGTTGCCGGTGCGGACCTTGGAGGGCAGGATCTGCTCGAATCCAGCCTCCTGGGCAACCTTTTCAATGCTCTTGAAGTACTGTAGCAGTCAAAGTTAGTATATGCTGTATTAAATTCGTGGAGTCTTCTTGCTTACCTTGACAGTCTTGACCTTGAGCTCGGCAGTGGCATCCTCATCGACCACAATCATGGGGTGAGGGTGAAGCTGCAAGCTGGACAGCGTCCACATGTGGTTGACGCCCTCTTCAATGCATTTCTGCAGAGCAAGCGACTTGCGCTGGCCCAGGATAATGACAACGACCTCTCTGGCCTCGAGGACGGTCTGGACACCAACAGTCAGGGCCATGCGAGGCACCTTGCTGATGTCGTGGTCAAAGAAGCGCGAGTTGGCAAGAATGGTGTCATAGGCCAGAGTCTTGACACGGGTGCGGCTGGCCAAGCTGGAGCCGGGCTCGTTGAAGGCAATGTGGCCGTCCTCGCCGATGCCAGCAAGGAACAGGTCAATGCCGCCAGCCTTCTTGATGGCATCTTCGTAGGCAACGCACTCGGCCTCCAGGTTGGGCGCATTGCCGTTGAGAATGTGGACGTTGGAAGGGTGGATGTTTACGTGGGAGAAGAAGTGCTTCCACATGAAGGTGTGGTAAGACTCGGCGTGGTCGCGGGGGATGCCCACGTACTCATCCATGTTGAAGGTGATGACATTCTCAAATGAGACCTGATATGGTTCATCGCCATTAGCTCACTTGTTGGATACGAAAGGTGAGAGATATCGCGCTTTCTGCTTACCAGGCCGGCCTTGTACTTTTGCACCAAGACCTTGTAAACGCCTAGAGGGCTGGAGCCAGTGGGCAGGCCGAGCACGAAAGGGTTCTCGGCGCTGGGGTGGAAGGTGTTGATGCGGTTGATGATGTAGTTGGCGACATACTCGCTGGCACCATCGGAGCCGTCACGGATGATCAAACGCATGGTGAAGGCTGTGAGAGAAGAGGACTAGTGTGGGGGAAATAGAGATGGAGGCAACAAGATGTATGAGAGAGATATTGGATATACAGCCCCGGAAGTTCGGAGAGAGAGGAAATGGGAGAGAAAGGTGATGGAGGAGACGATGATATCACAAGAAGATGGTGAGAATAATACTCTTTGAGTTCTTTACAGAGAAGAGAGAAGAAGAAAAAGAAGGAAACTTTTTTTTCAGGAAGAGCAGGAAATCGGCTCCATGGCTTAAGAGCCCAGCTTGTATGAGGGGAGGAGGGGCCCTCGACTGCAACAAACGAAACGACACACCCCCCGAGGTTCCTGAATCGGAAGAGGCGCTTAGAGACAATGAGTGACATAACAAGAACTGCCGCTGCTACAAGCTTGGGTGGTGCTACGACTGCTACATACCGGCGGCTGTCTCTCCCCAGACGCCACGAGCAACGATAGGAAAAGCATCGCTGGCTCCGTGAAGCACCAAAAAAAACGGGACGGAGACTGCGGGAAAAGCAAAAAAAGTGTCGAGCATGTACCGCACTAACATGAAACCCAAGATCGAAAGTTGCAGCGGCACGGCGGGCAGCCAGTAGTGCGTGCAGGACGGCCCTAGAGGGGGATCCCATGTGAGCTGTTCCGAGAATGCTAGTGGGCAGCGGCCATTGCAGGTGTGTAGAGATTTTCTTCTTTTGCCTCTGGGTTTCGATGGAACGTCACTGCATGCTTCCATCGGTTGCGCGCGCCACTTCTTGAGGGGTCCCCGTCAACTAAAGACACCAGAACAAACAAGTCCGCTCCAACGGGCTGGTGGGACCAGCAGCTGGAGAAAATTCCAGTGCACAAAGCCGGGCCTGTTTCTCCACTGCGGCGTGTCTTTGATGGGGTCCCTGGAGCAATCATATGTCCAGAAAAAGCTTATGTACACTCCGTTACCTCTAAGAGAAACCGTTCGTTGCATTGTGCATTGGAAACGGAGGATGCCGGTGACGTCTAATACGGGTATTGCTTTTGTCTTCAATAAGCAACATCACTCATACTCATACTAGTAGTATTCCCTGTCTTATGCTAGGGCAGCCAATCATCAAGCTGGAGCGCCGATGGAGCAGTGCAGAGTGTAATATTTACTCCGTCGCGCATCTTTAATCAGCTCCAAAGGCCTCATGTCTCATCCAAAGTGGCAACTGCCGTGGCCGGGTCAGCAGTTCGTAACACAAACGACTATCCTGTCTTGCCTGTACTCCAGCAAGAGGGTTAAGTGGCCAAGTGGCCTAAGCGATTACATGCAAGGTGGCACCGATAAGCTTGGATCAGATAATGAGGGTCAGTCTCCTGTGGCCGATTAGCGGCTTTCCGAGCCTGGCGAAATGATGTTGATTCAGCCTCGCTGGCTTGTGCATCTTATTCGTCTCTTGCCATGGCTCCCGCAATCGCTTTAACGTTCCAGGCAGATCGAGTCCCCATGGCCATGGCAACCTACGCGATATCCAACACGGGCCAATCGTTTATGACTTTGACCCCAGCCTGTCGTGCGACTCGTCTCCTGCTTGCCAGTTGCTTTGCATGCTATTGCTCCATCGTGGCGCCAACGGTGTCTCAGGTCATCTCACCATCGTGAACCCTCGTCACGTTGACAGCTGCCCACGACTCGCGTATTCTGTCCCATTCTTTTTCTACTGTTGGATATTCACCGTTGCTGTATGATCATGCCATGCATCACTGCTGAAGACCCCGAAGCAACCTTGGCGTCCGCAAAGTGAACTGTAACAAAGGGATCGATGATGGGGGCCGTCGTATTGGCGGGTAACACCCATTGTCAAGATATGTCGTTGGTTTGCAATTCTGCGACGCCGACTGAGCTCTAGATCCAGCCAGGCTAAAAGTGTGTCATTTGAGCTTTGACCTGGCCACTGAATCTGTTAGCCGGGAAACTACACAATGATATTGATGATACGGCACTCGTACGTACTGGAATAGTGTCATCGTGGCCAATTGTTTTTGCCCAGACATGCCAGTAGGAGTAAGCGCTTCATGGGCTCCCGTGGACGAGGGTTAAGCGATCTTATGAATGCACAGATGGCCTCGGACATAGTACACTGCTACTCTGCACGTTCGGAGTATACTAATATAGTAGGAGCAATTGCGATAAACGCGCTTATCTAGGACGCACCATGCTCAGATAGCCAAATTGTTCCTAGTGGTAGTATTCAGGGCAGTTAGATGAAGTGGCATCTTGCATTCTATCCAGCACAACTCCCCTTATCTCGCTATCTCTGCCCAGGTCCGCATAAATGAAGAGACAGGGCTGGTCCGACCCTGCAGTGACGATATAGGAAGGCGTTTGCAGGAATAAAGTTGGACTGTTTCGAGATCGAGGCTTAGCGTCTGCACCGCGGTCTGTGGGAGAGAGCTAGCTTTGTGATGCGTATACCACTTGCTGTTGTTGGACTTGGAAGCCGCATATTGGTAGGCTAGGAGATGATCACGAGCGCGAGTTGACGGAGAATCCTACTTGATCCATGGCATTCTGATTGACAATGCATCTTTTCGCCGCACGGGGCACTCGTACCCAGATAACTACTGACTGTACGGAGACTCGAAGTATGCGATGAATAGCAATTCAAACCATCTACAGCTATCAGCGAGCAACAATCTCCCACCGTGGCGTTTTCTCGCGGGGTTGAATATATGCTGCTAGCATCATTGACAGCTTCAACATCTCTTGGCTGACCCTCAAAGAAAGCCAGCCTTCTATATGGGGGGAATACTTGGCCCAAGCCATTGGCATAGCGCGCGCAATCAAAGACATGGCTTACTACTGAGCACTAGAGGCAATGGCAGATAATTTGGAGATTCGATATGGAGACTTGGAGAGCGTTTGGAGAGCGCGCGCAACCTACGGGGGCGTTGCGCCACAGAGATTTGCGGCTTAGCGGTGCCACCCATTAAACGCAGCGTAGCACGACGATGGAGTTACTGTATGAATTAGGCTTGTCGATTGCTATAATTACAACCGAGTAACCTATCAGGTTGCGTACTATCGCAGCGATATAGACCAATCTTGAGGGTTGTAGTATGTCGTATCAAAGCTGTCATGCACACAATTGGAAGCTAGAGTGGTATGCACAAGTAGTACCAGGCACTGCTTGCTCCAGCAGGGGTCTGTCGGAGCTAAACTGCTGGCTATCGGGGGCCCTGTACCTCCCGAGGAAGGCAGGCAAAAACAATCGTGATTTCTCGTATCCAGCAGCATCAAATGACTGGCCGCCGCAGCCTTGTTGCATCAAACAAACACCTGCCTGCAGCATCTTGATGCAATTTCAATTTCAGTTCCAGCCAACAGGTTACCACCGCTGCACCTCCACAGCCGCTGGACCCAATGGCAAAATTTCCCGGCCAGCGGGGCAGGGCCCCCCTGTCCATCCCGCTCCTTAGTCGCCGTCAACATTGAACCCTCCACGCTACCAGCGCTCCACCGCAACGTTACAACACCAAAAACCTCTTCACCACTTCGTCTCGTTTTTTTCTGGAGCTCTTCCTCGTCCAGCGATTGTGCTGTGCCTATTGCCCGCTGCTTTGCAAGATGAGGCGCCACTCCAGCTGCCCATCGTCGCCTCTCCACCCGCTAGCGACCGTCCCCCTGGACTCCCTTCGCTGCGCGCGCCCCTGGTTCTGATTCAGTTGCCTGCCCTCCTTTCTTCGAGAACCCCTTCGACCGGCAATCTTGGCGCAGCTGGCTGGTCGCATGCGCTGCTGTGCCAGATACGGGGAAGAAAATATGGAGTACATGCGCTGCTGCGTTGTTGTTCACTTGCTTCGTATTGCTGCTTCGCCATTGCAGTGCGATACCACTGCTCGCATCGCTGGCTTCTCACTCCGGCGGCCGATGTGACCCCCATCCCACACGATAGTATTTTCTAGCTTTTTTTTTTTTTTTTTTGTCTTCCTCTTCTACTGGCTTCTTCCTCACCATTTGCTGCTTTGCACTCCATCCAGCGACCTATCCTTGAGCCAATCGACAACGACTCCACTCTGCCGTGCGACGTTGAGGACCTATTCTGGGGCCTGTGCATGACCGCGAAAAAGAAGCTCTCTCGGCAGTCCTTCTCCAAGGTGATAGCCCGCCGCTGAGCTCCATCCGGCACCTCGGATCAACCCTCTCGTCGCGCAACGCGGACTAGGCCCTGTAACCTTTGGACACACGCCGTGCTGACTGACCTGTTACCTGCCTGGCATACATTACATTGGCAAGGACCGCTAGCCGTCGAGCTGGTTACCTGTCTCTCACGCCGTTGTTGTGGCTGTCCCAGCCCTGCCATTCGCTGGTCCGTCTCAGCAAGCCAGCACGCATCCCGCAGCCGTCGGACTACAAGTATACATCTGCACGGAGTACTCCGTATCCAACGCTCGACTCGGCCGGACAACCGCATCTCGTTGTTCCCCATACGACCCTCTCGACCCTCTTTCCTTCTCCCCATTCCCAGCTGTGAGGTGGCCGTCGCCCGAGATTGCATCAGCACGGGGCAGGTTCCATTTCCTCCTCCATCACCGCTGCCTTGGAGCCTCTCCTGCACTCTCTTTCTGCCTTCTCGGTTCTGCCCCAGGTCCACCAGTCCCGTGTCCAGAGTCGTGCCTGTCGATCGTGTCTTGTCTTTGGCTCTGCCACTTTGCCCTCCTACGACGTCGCTTTCTCATCCTTGCGAGACATAGTACAGTTTTTCGGCGCTTCTTTTGCCGCGATCCTACCACCACCATCTCACCCTCGTTTACCTAGAGACTCTCTTACTTTCTTTATTACCTAAAGCTGGATACTCCTTTATATCAGCCTCATCTCGCCCTAGTCTCATCCTAGATCCTATTTCTTTCGGCTACTTCTTCCTTCTTTGCAACCTTCTATTATCGGCTTGTGTTTGTTTAATCCAAATCAGCAATGACACAATTCCGGAAAGCATTCATGGCCGCCATCGTGAAGAGTCTGCTGCGAGGCAAGACTCTGATACAGGCCATCCTATCCTACTGGTTATCAGGAAACAAGAAGAGCAAAGAAACCGGCACACAGAAGAAGACTCTCCAGCAGTTCCTAAAGGATGCCGAGGCCGCCCTCGTCGGCCCCATCAGCGGCGATGGCCTGCAGGAGCTGTCCGTCAAGTTAAAACAGCAGATTCTCGACGCACTCCAGGCAGATGTGCAGTGCATGCTTCCCTCATACAGCCACCAGTTGCCAGTGGGCTCCGAATATGGGCAGTTTTTGGCCTTGGATGTGGGAGGATCGACGCTGCGGGTTGCCCTGGTCGAGTTACGAGGACGGGAAAAGGGTTCTGAAAATGCCACGGAGATTGTGAGCATGCAAAATTACCGCATCACCAAGGAGGTCAAGGATTTGGAGGGAATCGCCTTTTTTGAGTGGATGGCTGCGCGTATTACTGAGACGATCCAAACCACCCTCAACAGAGAGCACAGTGTCGAAAAGCCGCTGCCGGTTTCGATGGCCTGGAGCTTTCCTATCGAGTATGTATCCCTATCTTCAAGCTACGGCTGGTACCTTTTTTGCCTCTATCCGTATTTGTTTTCAAAACTGACGACCAAATAGTCAAACTTCCTTAGGTGGTGGCAAGCTTGCACCCATGGGCAAGGGCTTCTTGGCCGATGTTGGTCTTGTTGGACAAGATTTGGGAGACATCGTTAGGACCGCATGCAAAAATCAGAATCTCAACGTCGAGCTCAAGGCGATCCTCAACGACTCGAGTGCCTGCCTCCTATCACGAGCTTACTCCCATTCCTCGACCAGATTTGGCCTCATTTTGGGTACCGGTGTCAACATCGCTGCCTACCTGCCCGTCTCAGCCATCAGCCGATCAAAATTCGGCGAGAGACCAGCGGGCTGGTTCGATGAAGCATCTCACGTCATCGTCAACACGGAGCTCGGCATGTTTGGATCCAAAATCCTGCCCTTGACTCGATGGGACCGCCAGCTCAGTAAGGAACATCCTAGACCCGACTTCCAGCCCTTAGAGTACCTGACCAGCGGCATGTACCTCGGCGAGATTGTTCGTTTGATCTTAATAGATGCTATTCAGACGACTGGCTTCATGGGTGGCGTCGTTCCTCCCTCCCTGACTGAGCTTTATTCTTTGGGCACTGAAACCATCTCAACGATCGAGGGGTAAGTTATCATTCTGAGATAATCCTTGGCTTGGAACAGAGATGACTAACATCTTGACTATTTAGTGATACCACTGCCGACCTATCACAGGCTATCAGCTGCTTCTCTGAAAAGCACCCTTCATCCCAAGCTCCTAGCATCATTGATATGAGCGCCATCAAGGCAATTGCGTCTTTCGTTTCAGTACGATCAAGCGCACTCATCGCTTCCGCTGTGTATGCTCTTTGGGATATCCGTCAGGAGGGCGACCAAAAACTGCTCATCACTCTCCCTGAATCCTCTCCTCTTCGAACCACGGTTGAAGAGGATCTTAACATGGAGAAAACTACCGTTGCATTCAATGGTAGTGTCATTGAGCAGTACCCTGGATATTTGGCCAGTTGCCAACGATACATTAGCGAGTTGTTGGAAAGCAAGCCATCTGGCGAAAACAAGTCCATTGAGCTTGTTTCTGCCAAAGAGAGCTCATTAACAGGAGCTGCTGTGGCCCTGGCTTGCTTGGACTCATAGGAGGAGGGTTCAAAGCAATACCAACAACAAAAAACGGCACCTTAAACTTCCTTTTACGTCTTCGTTTAAGAGAAACTTTTGAGTACATGGCTGTGTGCAAGGTAATGATACCTGGGTTGATGCGTTATGGTTTTTACTTATTCATTATTTTTTGGGATATATGGGGTATGCGTGGGTGGTGCATACGTTAGAGGCGCAGGTTTCAGCATTGCTTCTTTCTTCGGCGCTTTTGCCTGTCTTCTTCAACCCTTCTTTTCTGTTTTTCTTTTCTCGGATGTATGTTTCCCATCTATTGTAATTTCCTCATTATTACCATACATGTTTTTATTTGTTTTGTGGGCGATGGTTACAGATTTGGAGCATTTGGTGGTGCGCTGCTGCAAAGAGCGAATGTTGCGTCATATGGGTTCAAACAGCAACAGGTGTATATAAGCATTGTATGTCTTGGATCAGAAGAAAAAGCGTTACACTCCTTGGAAGTCTATAATTTACTATATTATTCTGTTCAATTTTGCTTTTTTGTGAGCTAGAGCGCTTAATAAGAAGTCTTAGAAACAGCTACAGCTACAGCATCATAAACTTGAAGTTTCCCCAAGTTCGCGTATCGCAAGTATCGCAAGTATCGATACCCGCGAAATGCCCCTCAATGACCTGGTCTGAAAAGTCTAGGTACCGGCCGCCACGGTCATGTGACAGCCTGCCTTCTTCGCGTAAAGAGCCTGAGGAGCGCGTCTGGCCACAAAGAAAGAAAGAGCTAAGCCGCGTGCCGTACCTGCCTTTGGCTACGTCAATATTCACCCTTGTTCTCTTTTTTTCTGATGCGCTCAGCTCCCCTTTTCTTTGTTCAGACTGCAATTTAGAGATTGCTTTTCGCAAGCTACTACGGATACTGATACGAAAAAGGAAGAGAAGAAGTTGAAAGTGTCATAATATCAACGCAACGGTTACACACCTGCAAAGACACGGCTTGTGTTGGAGACATCACACATCCTTCCCACCATGGCTGATGCCTCCGGCATATTCAGCGAATGCGCCATCGCATTCGTGCCCAGCGCTTCGCTGCCTCCAAAGCTAATCAGCAGTGTGCGTGCTCCATCTATAACTCGCAAAAACAAGAGACTTTCGCATCTGACCCTTGACCTCTACAGCTCCAAGCCATTCTGACAGAACACGGCGCCACGGCGGTCGACTATCGACGCGATGGATCCCTCCCGATTGAACGAGTCAGCCACATCATCTCCAACACGATTGATTTCCCGCAGTACATCGAGTCGCAGGCGTTCATGATCCCCGTTGTGTCAACGCAGTGGATCACCGTCTCAATATCTCGGCGGAGGCAAGCTCAAGTGCGGCCCTTCTCGCCTGATCCACGCATGATTTTCTCAGAGGTCATGGTTACATGTGCGGACATACCACCGATGGATAAGGAGAGCATCCTAGGAGCAACCATGGCGCTGGGCGGACAAGAGTCCAAGGATGCAGGCAAGTTGACGACGCACATTTGTGCGCTCTCCATGGACCATCCCAAGGTTGTCAGTGCGCTGGAGAAGAATTGGAAGGGCAAAATTGTATTGCCCCACTGGTAAGTATCTATATCACTTGGCAGACATGCATACTCGTTCTGTTGGTTCGAATACTAAACTGACAAACTTGGCTTTTAGGTTCGATGACTGCTTTAAGCTGGGAAAGAGAATCGACGAAGGACCCTACCTGCTTCCCGAACCCGAGATTCTGAAAAAGGGCCCCGATGAGGACCTCGATATTCCATCGAATAATAACCTGATCGGAGCCTCATCAGCCAATCCTGAGTTCATATCTCTATCCGACGGAACCTCTGCCAGACCACCCGTTACTGTCTTCCAAGACAAGAAAATCTTGCTCGGAGCGGATTTGAAAATCACCGGTCGTCTCGAGAATGCCTTGAAAGACATCATTATCTATGGCGGCGGCCGGCTAGTGCAAGACGTCGATGACTGCGACACGTTGATCTGTCAGTATCGGGATGGCGAGCAGTACGTGCGGGCCTCTCAATCGTGCAAAGAGGTTGCCAATTTGTCTTGGCTCTATTTCCTCATTGCTCATAATGAATGGACGTCGCCTCTAAATCGATTGCTTCACTATCCCATTCCTAAGAATGGAATCCCGGGCTTCAAGGATATGCGCATCACCGTATCCAACTATGGTGGTGAGGCACGCATATATCTTGAGAACCTCATCAAGGCGTGCGGTGCCGAGTTCACCAAGACGATGAAGGCGGACAACACCCATCTCATTACAGCCCGCAACTCTAGCGAGAAGTGCAAAGCTGCTCCTGAATGGGGTATCACCGTTGTCAACCACCTCTGGATCGAAGAGAGCTATGCGAAGTGCGAGATCCAGCCGGTCAATGTGAAGAAGTATAATCACTTCCCCATTCGAACAAACTTGGGCGAAATTATCGGGCAAACCACGTTTAACGAGTCTAGACTGAGAGATTTGTTCTATCCAGGGGGCGAGGAAACCATGTCACCAAGAGCCAAAAGGAAGAGAAAGATCCTTGAGGCCGCAGAAGACAATGCGTATTCACATGGTCCCATGGAGGGCGTTGTGATTGGCGAAGTCGCCCAGGAAGGAGAGTCTGATGCTATGCAGGAGGACAACAGCGAGGAGGATGACATTCCATCTGTGGCATCAATAAAGAGCCGACCTAGCAGAACTCTCGCAACGCCCAAAAGAGCCCGACCTGCAGACGCAGGTAAAGAAAATGAGACGCCTACGTCCATGTCTACTGGTGGACGGAGTGCTAAAACAAAGGCCATGGATAGGCTCTCATTGATCGCTCCGGATATCGCTCTCTATGAAAAGGAAAAGAAGAGAAATACCAAGCCGGGAACTCCTTTCGGTGGCAAGCACGCTGCGAAGTTGACAGAGGAGAATGTCAATAAAAAGAAATCAGCTGGCCATAAAGATGTCGATGGCGACGAAGACCGGCCGGCCAAGAAGTCAAGACCATCTCTGCCTGGCGTTGAGATGCGCATTATTTTAACAGGCTTTACAAGATGGGTGGGAAGCCAAATTAAAGAAGATCAAGATCGAGTGAGTTCTGATTGTTTTGCCTTTGTTTAAAGCTCTTTTCTCTAACCCTTATTTTGTATCGTTCCTTTTGAATTTACCACATCAACGAGGCTTACTTGCTAATTATCTATCGACAGCGAAAACTCCGCGATCTCGGTATTCAGATTGTCCAGGAGGGTCAACCTTGCGACTATCTAGCGGCGCCGCATGTTGTGAGGACAGTCAAATTCCTATGCGCCCTAGCACGCGGGCCGACCGTCATCTCTTCGACATTTATCGAGAAAACTCTCGAGACGGGCAAGCTTCAAGATGTGGAAGACTTTATCCTCAGAGATGCCGAGGCTGAATCCAAGTACGACGTTAATCTCGAGAAATCTGTTGCCAGGGCCAAGGCCCACCGTGGCAAACTCCTTCGAAGCATTCCCATATACTGCACTGATAAAATCAAGAATGGGCCCGAGAGCTATCGCGCTATTGCAGAAGCCAATGGTGCCATGTTCATGATCTATCGTGCACGAAGCGGAACGACTATCAAGCCAACCACCGCGGAGCAAGACGGGTTTGCACCTCCTGAGCCAGTTTACCTTCTGAGCGGTGCCACTCCAGAAGAAAAGCAGCTATGGAAGCGCTTCAAGGAGATGGCAATAAACGGCCACATGGAGCCTAGGGTGGTGTCGCCGGACTGGCTCCTTGATGTTGCAATGGCGCAACAGGTGCGGTTTGATAAGAAATTTCTGCTCGAAACAGAATGAGGCGTCGATTCAAGTGTAAGATTCAGTGGACGCATCTTGTTATGAGGCATGTATATAACGGAGTTTCAGGAAGGAAGCATGACTCGGTGTTGGGAGGGACAAATTTGTTGATGGTGGCCCTTGTGCATGGACAGTTATGGCGGTAGTAACATGTCGCACTGCAGTTTTGCAGCATTTTCGCTTTGTACTTTTTTTCTTAGTTAATTAGATAGATGGAAGGGGCTGCCTCAGAAGAATTTGACACCAAGAGAGTCTTCCGAGCCAAAAATCTGGGCTTTGCCCCGTTTGACGAGGATGTTTAGCGCTTTCATGAGTACGCCGTTGTCCATGCCGTGGAATTCTGTCACACGTCGTTTTAGAACTGCCTCATTTCCAGTATGCATAGTACAATGCGGTAAACTCACCAGTTCCTCGAGTATTCTCTCCCTCCGTCAGCTCATATACCGTCAGCACGCTTCCCTTTTGCGCCGTCTCGTCCACATAGGCCTCTATCAGGGCCGCCCACTCCTGCGGCTTACGCCAGTATATCAGCACCACATCCCCAGCGCCAGCACCTGCACTCGCAGCAGTCGAAGCGGTAGACGCATCGCCATTGCTGTTGCTACCGCTGCTGCCGGCACCAGCGTCCCCGGGCTGCAGATACTCTGCCCTCCCATCCTTGCGCATGAAATCCACGACCTCGCGAATATCGGGCGGGGCGAGGCGGCGGTCGAGCTGGCGGTTGTAAAAAAGGTCCGAGTCGGCGGCGGCGGAGAGGGCGAGGCGGAAGATTCGGTGGTGGCGGGCGTAGGCGAGGACGAGGGAGGACCATTTGGTGAGCTGGGCGTGGTGGATGGTGAGGTTGGGCTGGCGGGTGAAGAAGGCGGGGAAGAAGTACTCGCGGGGGAAGGGGAAGGGTTCTGAGGCTGTAGTGGTGGCCATTGTTTCTGTGAGACTGAGGGGATGGCTAGAGAGTAGAGAGAGGGAGGGAGATGGCCGTGAGAGGAGGCTTGGAGATGAAGTGAGGTGAGGTGAAGATTGGCTTTTGGAGGGGTTGATGCTGAATCGTAAGTTTGCGGGTTCGAATAAGGGTCCCCCTAGCGCTGGAGCGGGATGACGTTGTGCCACGTGGGGTTCAAGGTACCTGAAGCTCAACGGTAACTTTTGGACGTTGGGGACTCAGCTTTCTTCCGGAGCTGGTATAAGAAAGTTATTGGATATGGGAGAATTTCACCAAAGTTTCTAGATGTTATGGTAAGAAAAGGATTGAGCCTCGAACTCCTACAACATGAAAACCTAGAATTAGTGACATATGACCATACGTATAAGAAATGACGGCGAGTCAGTCATTTTTGAATAGATGAGCTGTTCTATTAGCTTTGCCGTAAATGAATAACTTCCATTGTCTAGAAGCCAAGAAACCCATCTCACTCATGAATAAAAATAGAACGTTTTTAAAAGAGACAGAGGAGCGTATTTGGGTAATAGACAGGACGTCGCTCAGGACAGGCATAACTGATACCTAAAGCCTTCCCTCTGAGGAGACTTATGAAGATGATAAGATAATAACAGGAAATTTGCATAAGATCTAGTAGCAGACAAAAAAAAGCTCGTAATCTATCTACGAAAAGAAAGAAGAACTTACGATTTATAGATACAATCTGGCCACTAGAAGCTAAAGCTGAAATCTGCCAACCACCAAGCCTCGAAAAATGTATTTTAATCATCAATGAGCGGGTGCACGCAAATTCTCGTTTTCCTCATGTTTCCGTATCAAATTTAATGTAGCATTGAACTTTCCTACGTTTGCCTCTCTTTCATAGTATCCATATTAAAGTCGTGTACAACTCACGTCTCAGATGGACCATGCATCTGCATACGTCACCAACGACAGAGCACAGGCGGGAATTCATATATATTCACAGCAATCATCAATAAAAGGACTCATCTTTTTTTTTTTTTGTTCATCTTTTCATTCTTGCTTGGATTTCCCTATCCCTTCTTTTATGAGCGCCATGTAATAACAGAATAAAGGCCCAGATTTCACTATGCACTATGCCTAACCAGGTATCGAACCGCAAACGACAAAAGAAATAAAGAAAGAGTACAAATAGGGGGTGTTAAGGTAAAAAGTCGAAATGAAGAGAGCAAATACTAAACAGATAGTCGCAAATAGCTCCAAGGAAATGAAATGAGGAATAAAGAGGGAAGTAACGGGTAAAGGAAAACAGCTGTCCAGTTATGAAAATACAAAGGGTCAATTTCCCTAATCGCTTCTGCCAACTTTCCTTCTAAGAAAAAATTTTCCTTCCTTGTAGCATAATAACATCGTAATGAGGCCGGTCACTCCGGATATAAGTTTTTCTATATACACACACATTTGCAGGTCAGATGGAAGTCGTTTTGTAAAACTGTCATCTTCCATCGTAAACCTGTTTTAGCTGGTCTCAAATAGAGACATATCGGAAAAAGAGGACAAAACATTCGAAAGGGCCGAAAAGAGCCGAAAGATAAAACGAGAAGTGGAGTATCGCAAAGCAAAACTTGGAAACATAGTAGTGAATCGTGTCGATTGAAATCCCTCCCCCCCTTGCAAAATCCGTCGTCAATTATCGGAATATATCTTCGTCGTCGGTCATGGTTTCGTAACCAGTGTCCACATCCATACCCACCACTCTTTTCGTAATAGTTATGCATCGATTAATTACTTTGTCTTGAAGATCGGGTGGCACACCGCAATTTAGCGCCAGCGGACTGCCCATCCAAAGCCGTAGGATGGCAGCCAGCCGCTCGATGAGCGGTGCAAAGTTGTTTGTTGTATCTTTGTGCTTTAGGATCTGCTCTAAAACTTCCATGACGGATGTAAAGCTCAAAAGCGACATTTTCGTTTGCCTTGATAGATGAATCACTTTTTCGATTGAGGCTCGGACGTATGTTTTGTTGCTAGCGACCTTTCCACCTAAACGCTTGATGTGAGCCGTAGCTGTTGCACAGCGCAGGCAAAGCTCAAGGTCGGGATTAGGAGTATTTGGCTGGGTAGGAGAGAAGGGCGCCGGGTTGGCAAAGGGATTCGATTCGGCGGTAGCAAGTGACATAGGTTCGATAAGCTGGCTGCTACTAGTGTCGATCCGAAGGACTTGAACAGCGGCGGCGATATTTTGCCCACGACAATAATGAGCGAGCACAGAACGAGCCATAATCGCCCGTGCTCGAGCATGAGAACCAAAAGGCGCGACTTTGACAGCCAGTTCCATTACTCCCTGGTCTTTGGATGCCGCTTCGTTGTCGGATAGTGTGCTTGTCAAGATATCATGTACCTTGGCTGTGGACCACCAAGCCGCAAGAGCATCCATGGGAGATCCAATAGCGGTATCATCGACTACCGAATCCATACCGTCAATCGGGATTGCATTATATGTCGTTTCCAAGTTGAAGGCCAAGTTGTGAGCTCGTTGAATTACCGTGGTAGTGAGCACTTTATCACAGTCCTGTTCGACCAAGGCAGCCAAGTGGTCGGGCAATATCTGTTCGAGTCGCTTCTCCTCGGAGGCCTCGTCTTCTTGGCAGCTATTCATCAATCTCTGGTTCAGGTCTCGAGCGGCATCCCACTGTCGCTGTGCAATCTTGGCGGCAAAGAAGTTGACCAGCCCTAGCTGATACCATTTTTGACCTAGATCCCACAATAGGACGCGGACATGAAGCGCTTTGAGCATTAAACCGCTAGGTGTATTCGGGACGGTTCCAGAGGCTAGAAGTGTCAGAATAAGGCGGCTCATGCAAATCTCTGCGTCGCCACCAGTGAGTTGGGCATCCAAAGCGGTAGCCCAGGCGCTGACCCGGGCCACTTCTTGCTCAGGGGTCAATCCGGTCAAAAGTTGGTAGGCATGGACGCCGAATACATTGCGTACGCTAAGTTTGAGCGTCTTGAGCATCAATGCTGCGGCTTCCAGGAAGAAGTTGTGGTGAGGTACCCAGACAGTCTGAATCGCCGTTTCCCAAGCACGACGGCGAACACTGATGGGAGATGCGAGAGAAGGAGCAGGATGAATAGCAGTAGATTGCTGCTTTTTAGGGCTTCGATTGAAGAAAGAAAATACTGATGGTATGAAAACCCACAGCATCAGGCCGAAGAGCAGCATGAATTTCAGGGGGATAGCGACCTCAATTCCCGCCCAATGCAAATGAAGCTGCGATGGGACATATTTGAGAAGCTGCAAGGGGACAGCAAACAGGCCACGGCCTTGGGGCTCTTCATTACTGGTCTCGTCCTCCCGAACTGCCTCCAGAATCATCAGTCCGGCGAGCGAGCCCACCATCAATTTGCCAAAATAGGGGCCCGCGTTGTTCCATCCTCCTTGCTGCCCTTGCTGCTGCATCTGTCGAATCTGCTGCTGGCCGACCACTGCCGGGTTCGGGCGGAATAATTGCTGTTGCTGAGGCACGGGATATGGCTGGTTCGCCATTTGGGCAGAAAGGATTCGTTTCATGTCCTCTGGAACATCGATCATTCCAGCGGGTCCGGCACCGCCTTCTTGGGAAATTTCTAGCGGAGAGGGTGTCATTTGCGGCTGCTGCTGCTGGGCTTGCTGTTGTTGCTGCTGTTGTTGTTGCTGTTGTTGTTGCTGTTGTTGTTGGGCTTGCTGTGACTGTTGCTGGGATTGGCCGTCTTGGGGATACTGCATCGGTGTGGGCTGCTGCATCGAAGGGATGGAACCATTCATAGCGCCGGCCATAAACAGCTTCTCGAAAGCGGCGATTCTCTGGTGCATGACGCCATTTTCATCCAGGAGTCTGTTATTCCTCTTCTCCAGATGCCGGATGTATTCCGTGGCTTTACTCAAAACCTATTTCATCAAGCATGTTTAGTGATTCTGATATTCATCGCCTCCTGAATCGTAGCTTCTCAAAAAAATCGTAAACACTGAGGTTACCTACAGTTGCTTTATTAAGCTTATGGGCTGGTGTCAGACCGTGTAATTCTTCACGGTCTTCGGTTGTGTCCTCTCCTCTCGCGCTCTTGCACATGATGCGCAAGCTGGGAACACTGTCTCTCAAAGCGGCAATTTTGTCATTGATGTTGGTGCGATAGCGCTTCTCAATCATGTTGTGAGCAGTCTTCTTGACCGGCTTACCGCCCTCCTCAAGAAGGTCATCGTCGTCATAGTCATCAGCCGAAATCTTTCGCTTCCGAGAATCTCTGTGGGAGCCTCCAGAGATGTCGGGCGATGAGCCGACTCCTGTCTTGGCCGACTCGGGGCTGGAAGCGCTCTTGGGCGATCCGTACAGAAGATGAGGGGGCATTGCGATGTTTCGCAGCTGTTCCTGCAAGGCAGGGCTCAACTTGGAGATAGAGCGTAGGGGAGCTTTTGACACTGGGATGGCAGCGCCCCGCTTGGTAGGCACTTGATTAGAGAGGTAGACTGACGTAGGATCGACGTTGGGCACTGCGAAGCCACCAAAGCCGGAAGAATCGGGCAACTGTTGCTGCTGCTGAGGGTCGAAAGTCGGGGTCGGCCAGGACGGGGACAAGTATCCTGGATGCGCTGAGGGGAGAGCGGTGTTGCTGGCGCTGCTGATGTCGTACGAGTTGGTTTGGGGCGAGGCATCCAAAGACCAGACGCCAGCATCGAGGAAAGCGCCGGAGGGGTCGCCGTTGGGTAGAATTGGAGCATCTGAGATTGCATCGAGAGGCACGGGGCCACCGCCTATGAATCCGAAGCTCGGGTCGTCAAACCCAAGCCCGCTGGTACCATCCTCATCGGCCATGGGAGGGGAAGAGGAAGGGCGCTTTGGGGGGAATGGCGGCTGCAAAGACCGGGGGAAGCTCTCGGATCAGCTCATGCAGCGACAACCGGGCTCGACAGACCGAGGATGGGCAGAACCGGAGGCCAGGTGAAGAAAGCGTCAGGGTCCGATGGAATGTCACTCGACTGATGGGAGAGAATCGTGCGGTCGACGAGCGAAGTGGACTGAGTGATGCAGAAGTTGTGGACGCTCTCACGAGCGATAGCACGATCAGATCAGCTGTTTTTCCCAGTTTCTTCCCTGGCGGACCCAGGTGGTAGGATACGGTTTAAAGCGGGCGGAGCTGCTGAGACGCCCAGTGAGCGCTGCCGACGGTGTGGATGGCCAGGGAGCGTTGCAGGCGAGACGATGAGATTTGACGGTACGCTCAAGAAGCGCAAGTGCTACTGCGCAGTATTATTACTCCGTAGAGAAGAGAGAGGCGATACGACGGCACGGCACTTGGGTATTGAGTACTATGAAAAGGGAAAGCCCTGAGAAGTGACGACGACGGGACAAGACAGCGGCCAGGGGGGGTCTTTGATTCAGCCCGGCAGCACTAACGCTGTAACGGTATATAGTGGTGTTCGAATTCTTGGTCTCGATCCCTTCTCGATCCCTTCAGCAGTGGTATGGATTGCCGGCTTATGGCGCTGTACGGGACAGGCAGATGATGGATGGCTTGGATCGAAGGAGATTGCCGGTCAGAGGCAGATCGAGGTGTGATTGTGGAAGTGAATGCGGTTTCCTGGCTCGATTCGATCCGGTTCGATATGATACACGTATGACTGCTGCTGCTGCGAGAACCTCTTCACTGGAGCCACGGCAATGCGGTACGGACAGCCGGAAGAAGAGGTTTGCCCAAAGAAAGGTGTGCGAGATGAGACAAGCATGCTGCACAAGGAACATCGTACGATCCGGAACCGATATCAGGCGAGGCTACGCCCAAACGAGCAAAGGGAAAAAGCTAAAAGGCGAACAGGCCTACCCGAAAATCCCCCACCTCCCTTGGCAGCTACATGGCGACAGCGGTAGCTGCTACCTGGCGCGTGCTAGCAGTGCCCATACGACGTGCAGGTGCCTGAGACGAGAGCCTTGAGTACACTATGGATACTGCCTCATTGAGACGGCGCCAAAGCTCCACCTCCTTGTTTATTGCTGCCCGATTTTCTTTTTTCTTTGAATTCTTTTTAGATATTCGGTCATTGATTTCCATCATGTTGTTCAACGACATTCGTCGTTATGCAGCAGGTAAGCAGGCATACTCGGTGCAGGTGCTCCGTACCTGTGGGGTGAATATGCTCATAGACCACATGCCAAACCCAGAAAAACACGCGCATATCGACATCGGGATGCTGCAGCCTCCGTATTACTCTGGGCAGCCGCTGATAGTACGACGCAGTACTTGTACCACCCGCCGCCTGTAAGACAAGCCGGATATCCGCCCAGATTGCCACACGGCGCCAAGTACTGGGTACCTGCAATCACTTGGACGAGCTGCCGCTCAGGACGCATGGGAGACCCGTTCCGTATCAGAATGGTGCTAGCGGCCGTGGTATTTTCGTGGCGCTGGAGGGCACCGCGGTCTATTTTCAAAGCACATGCGCCTTGGGCAGCTGGCGGAACCGAAGGAAATGCTCGGTAATAGCCCGAACGACAATGCGATTTTGGGAATACAATGGCAGCGGTCCCCGTCCCAGCCGGTGACTTTGCAAGTACAAGTCCCCGACGCCCGGCTAATACTATATCCAGGAGATGATTCATGTTTCGTGCTGGTATCGTCCATCATACGTGTATAGCCCGGCTGCCTTTCATTTAATCTCAGCATCTCGATGATTCAGCGATATGAAAGCACAGGCCCAAGCGCGAGGCGCGAGCTGAACCTCAACGGCGACGCAAGCCCATTTAGCGCAATGCGATCTAGTCAATTGCATTACATTGCCAGAAATGAGAGCCGCCACATTGGTACAGGTAGCGTTTGCCTTTTGTGGCTCAACTGCAAGGCGCTAAGATTCATGGTCTCCGTCAGCCCTGTGAAGAGGCCTACCGTCCACGTTATTTCTCCGTAAAGCTCGTGGCAGAAGCATTGCACTGGACTTCATCTTCAACATAAGGTAAGAATCCATAATAGCCCCCGTCACCTACAGTACGTACCTAGCCTTAGGAACGCCCTACTAGTAGTAAGTGAGACATAGCCACGTGAATTCGCCGCCATCGCCGCCGCCATCGCCGCAATGGCCGCACTATGGCTAAAGATTTGTCTCGGCGTGCTCCGTACCAAAAAGTACCAAGTACGGAGCATTTTGTTGGATTTGGGATTTTCAGCTTTCGCTATTCGCTCTGCTATCAAACTACCCCTGCCTAGTCGCCGTTTTTGAGTCACTTTTGAGAATGTCTTCAGCCGTGGGCTTGGCTGCGTGAGCGCATTCTCTGTGCTACCCCAAATGCGCCGGCTATTGGGGAACAACAGCCTGTTGAATGTCTGCTTTTCAGCTCCTTCTTCCTGCCGGAGGGATGCCGGTCCAGCCCGAGCCAAGCAAAAGCAAAGAGAGACGATGGAAATGAAAAGGGATTAAAAAGCAAATGGCAAGTTCCAGCTGTTCTAGCCCCTCAGCCACAGCCCTACTCCAGACCCTGAATGGCTGCTCGGGCACAACGAGAGTCCGGTGCCAAAGCAAGGGCCATGCTAGGGATCACCACCACCACCGAGGTAGCACTGCTTCGCCCTCCGCCCTTCCATGCTTGGCTGTGAAATGCCACATTCCTAGCCTGTGGCGTTTCTGTTTCTCAGCTGCGGCTCACTATTGGCTTCTAGAGGCTCGCCGGAATGCAGAAGCTGCAAAATGCTGTTGGCTGTTGGCTGCTGGCCCCCGAGTCCCGTCCAGCAGCCGCTGCCAGCTCGGCACGGCACATCTGCCAGCGACATCGACTGCAGCCACTCCCTGATTCGTGCCGGGGCCAATGCAAGCTGGCCGCGGGGCCACATCCGTCGCGACACGTCAAATCACCGCTCGGCTACTGACTTTCTGGCTCTGCCCCAGGCCAAGCAGCGGCAGGGCACCGAGTTGTCACAGTCGACATGTTACCTGTCATCTCCCGGCCCTTGTGCCAGCATGTGCTGTGGTCTCAGCTGCTGCTCCCCTCCCATCGCTGGACTTGGCTCGCCACCCATGCCTGAAGCTGTCCTCGACATTCTCGTGCACAATCTGCGCCAACCAACCCTGACAAGCGCAGCACTCGCTCTCCATGGAGGCCTAGACGTCGATGTAGTCATGCCCTCCCGCCCTCATTTGATGGTTGAGCCGTCTTGGCTAGGCCCAATCCATGGTGACAGCCTGTCTCCCGTGCATATTCCCCGCCTCCCGCGAGCGGGTCGATCGATATTGGCTGCAGTCAATATTGATTCCCTTCACTGATCCCGTACTCCAAGTTACTTCGCATAAGCTAGGCCGTCGCCCACGCGGCGTAAATCCTGCCTCAAGCACTCTTAGCACCCCTTTGGGTGCCACGCCTGTGCGGACTTTGTGACGTATCATGGGACGAGGAAAGATTTCGCGAGGCTTGATCCCCAACATACTGGTAGGCTGTCGTCGATTTCCATTAGAGACAGAGGCTGAGGAAAGGCTGCAGAGTAACACTGTTGGGTATGAGCAAATGGATACTACTGCCTGCACTCGGCAAAGATTGTCATCTCTGTCCACCAACGAGAAAACTTACTAGGCATAATTCGGCCACAGATGCCCAATGTGAACCTAAAGACATATGTCATTAATTTTGTCGCGATGACTAGTATATGTCAAAGAGCGAAAGCAAGAGGCATCCAATGCGGTGCCTACAGCTAAGCAAACTATACCTATTGTACATATATGGACTCAGTACGGGGCATGGCATTCCAATCTGAATCGGCAAAGTAGACTCGATCCATAGCATGGATTGGCAGAAACAAACGTGTCAACAGATGCTACATCGTATTGCTACCTCCCTAGGTACCTAGTCTCAACGACATTATCTCTTTCAGGTGAGCTGTAAGAAATGACGTCGTGACCGTTCCATTGGGGGCTTTTTGATATGCTACTGGTCTTTTTTGTCTTATTCCCGTTACCCACTGTTGTTGCATGAATTATTTCATGCGAGAGGCTCAGATCGGCGTCTTTACTTTAATTAGCATTGGTCGCTTGAGAGCCTGTCTGCATGTAGTCATCAATGATAGCTACATGTATTTCGAGCCACCAGGGGGGAACTAATGATAAGCGGAATAACAAATATTTGTACTCGCACATGTATCGATAATTACATACAGGCTATACCTAGAAGAAAAGAGGGGAGGAGGCTTTGAGAACAAGCTCGAAGCAAAATAAAGCGTCTGAAAAATGGTTTGAAAAAGGGTCTAGACGTGGGCTCAGTAGTATTGATATCTCAGTTGAGCTAGATATCCTAGTTGAGCTATGCGTGGTTGGATGGGACTTTGCGGCTGTATCCTTGGACCTAATGCAAGTCAGAGAGATAGCTCTTCCTTTCAGCTCCTATAGTCCGTTTGGAAAAAGAAATGAAAGGGGAAAGAAAGGCATAAACAGCGGTAACAGAAGAGCCCGCCAGGTCTGTTATTGCACGTCTTTCAATCTGCTGGAGTTATTCTGTCCTCAAGAGAACGAAAGATGTCGTTGCTATTACCTCTTCCGTAGATACTTGACGTATGTGATGTGATAATGCGGCATTTATCACGCAGATAAGACCCTTCAGAACAATGAAAACCGAATGTATCACCAGATCTGTTATTGCATTCCTAAAGACATGACAATTTTGTATAGCATTCCAAATAGGTATAGTATCGAATAATAAAACAACAAGATATGATAGAACCTCAACTGTCAAGTGGAATAGTAGATGTAAGTAGTAAATCAATAGTAATTGGTGTCAACATCTTTGCGTCTCCTCACACTTACTCATGTTCCCCTGGATCACTAGTCGCCTTAACAACACTCAATCGCATAGGGCAGTCCCTCAATCACACAATGCATGAAAATCACTCTTGGACCAAAAAATCATTTCTTCAGAGATACTAAATACTCCATTAGAGAGATACTGTATTTTATATGCCTATAGAGCTTATGAAAATATTCCCTTGGAAAATCTCATCAGTCGTCAAGAAAAATAGGTATGCGGGTATGATTTTTCCTTCTTCCTCAATCTTATTGCTCCTAGCCCCAAATCATTGGTATAAAAATAATGTAAAGAATAAAAAAACAGAATGTCTGAATTGGGGAAGGGGACATTGTTTTGATGAACGAGAGGAGAGAAGAGAAATCACGGGGACATGATAAAAAAAAAAAAAAAAAAAAACCAAGGGCTGCCCTCCCTGGGGCTGCCCATACAAAATTATCTAACAAAAAGAAGCTTGAAAAAGGAAATACAGATGCATGAAACAATTATCAGTTCTCGCGAGGGGCTTCCTCCACCTATTTACCAGACATCATCAGAGCTCCTGACCATCTCCAAGGTAGGCGTCTTGGGGACCATTCGCTTCATGCGCTTGCGATCCTCCTTGGTGACCAAGCCGGGAGTGATTGGGACAAGGGGGGTATATGGTTGGTACGGAGAGTAGGGCACGGCGCTCGCGGTGAATGGGGTCCTGCCTGAGGGCGATAGAGGGCCGGTTCTCTCAAAGACAGTCTGCTTGGTGGTCTGATTGGTAACAAAAGGCGAACCAAGTTGCTCCTCATAAGCGCGAAGAGGAAGGGTACCGCCGGTTCGGACCGCAGAAGGAGGGTTAGGGCGAGAAAAGGAGGCACCAGGTCGTGGTGAAGAAGGAAGCGAAGGAAACGTGCTTCCAGGCTTGGGAGATGATGGGAGACCAACCAAAGGAACTTGCGAGTGATCCGAGGTGGCTGACTCAGGGTCTCTCTCGGTATATGGCAGGGTGGTCCTCGAGCTTCGATCAAGAGAAGCTCCAATACGCTCATCAATGGTTTGGATACTCTGAGGTGACATATCCGGAGTAATTGGGGCACCCGAAGCCCTGTAGGCGCCGTATGGCACCTGGTCCGTTGGAACAGGCGGAGGAGGAGGAGGAGCATAGTGTCGTGGCGGAATGGCGCTCATCTCTCGAGACTCATGCTGGGGAAAAGTGCCCGACATGGGGGTCATGATGGGAGACGAAATGCTCATTCCCTTGGCTTCCTTCCTCTTGGGAGATAGGAGGGAAGAGAAAAGAGCCGAAGTCTTTGACTTGGACTTTTCTTCCTTGGCGGCCGCCAAGTTGAGACCGGCGGGCTTTGACTTGCTCTTCTTTGATAAGAGGCCCTTGGACTTATCAGATGCCGTCGACTCTTGGGGGCTCGGAGCCACAACCGGAGATTCGAGAATGATTCCCTTCTGCTTTGCCTCCTCGTGCTCCATGACGTACTTGTACATCTCTTCCAGCTGCTGTTGCGCCATGGCTCTATCTGCTGCGACGATTGACTGGTCTACAAGCGGTGAGACTCCAAGAGTTGATGGAATTGCAGATGAAGAAGGCGATGGGATGACGTATGACGATGACCCGTTCTTGTAGTCAAAGACTCGGGCGCTGTAGGGACCAGAGTGGATGTACTCTGACTTTGGAATTATTAAGGGAGGAACAATATGGCCCTCGGCTTGTTGATTCGTGAATTCAAATTGTTGCTGAAATTCTGCAACCGGAAAGTTTGGCTGGAAAACGTAGCTGGGTATATCCGTTCCCCGAAGATGTTCTCGGCGTCGTTTTGATAGCGCAAGTAAGGCGATGGCGACCAGCACCAACGATACACCGTATGCCGCAACGATACCACCAATCTGCACGGGAAGAATTCTAGTATCCCGCAGAACCCGAGCAGACAGCGGCGGACCGTCTCTAACAGTGTCTCTCTTTGTGATGAATGGAGTGGAGGATCCAAACGTTGGCGATGAATGAGCGACGGACCAAAGAAGCACAGAAGACAAGGCGGCGACGAGTGACGATGATGAAGGAAGAATCTCCGGGAGCATGTTGCAGACCCAACGTCGCTCTTATGAAGGCGATCACTGCGTTATGGGACCTCCTGGCTTTGAAATGCGAAACATGACCCGAGAGAGATGTGACATGAATGAGGAGAAATATGCGGCATCTTGGGGCGTATATAGGGCCCGTCACGGCGGCTGGCGATGCTGGGAGGCTTCCAGACTGGCGCTCTCTCGTGGGGCCGAGCGAGGGTTCGCACGAGATTCCCGGCTCGCGCGATGCTGACTGGCTGGGCGCTGCGTGCGGTGCATGATGGGCGGTTACATAGCGTGCCACCAACGGCCGTGGCCCAGGAGCAGCAACAAGATGCATCTCGCGCCTGTGGTTGGATGGATGTTGGTGGTTTAAGCGCCGACCTCTGCTTGTGACGGGCGCCGCTGTGCCCTGATTGGCCCACCGGGCAGTATTGATGCAGGCACTAAAGCTCGCCACCTGCATGCCCCGCCGGGCCTAACCCACAGGGGGGCCGGGCGCTGGGGAACACCTGGACATCAGATTGAATTGAAAAAAAAGCTGCGTTGACTGCTCCTGTACGACACACATCAATAAGTTCATGTTCCCGTTTGGAATTTTGGCTGTGGGTATTGTTCCAAGTTTCTGGGATTTGCTCTACATTATAAGCTCCTTCTCTTCTTACGCTTCTGAAACTCCCATAATCTTATTTCTATATATACTTACCTACCTATGCGTATACGTACTCGTCCGTCTCTCCCAGCTTTGCTGGCGGAGAACCGACGCTAGATGACACTGCTAATAAGCGCCGGCGCTGAGACAGGATCTATCCTTGCCTAAGCAGTGATACCCGAGCTCATTCGTCCGAATATCTCCCAATAAGAGCAGCGTGACGAAGTGCCATAGCGACCTCCAGCCACTTTCTTAGCGGTGATCGGCGCGCTGTGCCCAGAAGACAGCCTGTGTGTCTCGTCACATCTTCAGGCACGGGCACACCGCCAGAGCATTTGCGGCTAACCATCTGGTGATGAGCTGAAAATTCGTCGCAGTAGATTCCCGGCCTAGACTGGACTTGACAAGTTTACCAATCTGCAGATAGCTTCACCCTAAAAAGAGGAGGAATCACGCCATCTAGAGCCATGGATCTGTGATATTGGCAACTAGTCTGTGATGTGAACTTATGTATTCCTCATCACCCATCACTCATCACCATCACCCATCACATTTGGGCGGTTTTCTGTAGCTTATGATACTCACTTCCAAAGCGCAGAAAGAGTGATGGATGACGTTTTCTCTCATCTCATGCATTTGTTCATATCAGAAAATGAGATGCGATATCTGTAAACTGATAAGCAGCGCATTATGGTCAACAAACAAGCTTCGTGACCGCGGGCTTACCAAGACAATAAGTCACGTGAGTTCGCGATGCGCCATGTTGGTTGCCCACTTTGAATCGACGCGTTGGATGGCGACGCGAGTGGTGAAGTGACAAGATAAGATGAAATCATCAAGTTCAGCTTGTGCCCCTAATTCATCTGTTGCTTGATATCGAGCCTCCAAGCGCTGTAATTGGCACAGGGTGCAGATACTGTACTACCTTTCAGATGCCCAATCTCTGTTCCTAGCCAGGTATAAACACCACGGGCTTTCGCTTCGAGCTGCGCCATGTCAACGGCCTCGGCTGAGAATCCAATACTGCAGTCGCTCAATGCGGCCCAGCGCCGTGCTGTCACTTCCAATGCATCAACAGTTGCCATCCTGGCGGGCCCGGGGAGCGGCAAGACGCATACTCTCACATCACGCGTTGTGTGGCTAGTTCAGCAAACGGGCTACCAGCCATCAGACATCGTTGTAGCTACATTTACCGTCAAGGCAGCCCGTGAGATGAAGGAGCGAATTGGCAAAGTCCTTGGCCCGGAAAGTGAGAAGAAGATCGTGCTCGGCACCTTTCACTCCATTGCCCGGCGGTATCTCAGCGCCTATGGCAAACACATAGGTCTTGATTCCAAGTTTGGGATTGCCGATGATGGCGATTCGAGGGCAATTATTCAGCGCATATGTAAACGCCATGACTTCAACATCGACCCTGGGTATGCGAGATCGTGGATCAGCAAGAAGAAAGCCAAGGGCCATGTGACCGACGCACCTTCGAACAAGAAGCAGCCTGAGAATCCATCATTGAATGAGTGCTACAGGGAGTATCAGGAGCACCTAGAACGATCGAACTTACTAGACTACGACGACCTACTAGTGCGCTGCGTGGAGTTGCTGAGAACGTATCCAGCTTGTGTCTCAAACATCCAAGCGGTTCTCATAGACGAATACCAAGACACAAATGGCATTCAGTACGATTTGATGAAATTATTTGGCCAGGCTCGTCAACGCATAACGATTGTCGGCGATCCTGACCAAAGTATTTACGGCTGGCGATCAGCTGAGATCCGAAACCTGTACCGACTGCTACGAGACTTTCCCCAGACAGAGGAAATATCGCTAGAAGAAAATTACCGCTCATCTCGGTCAATTCTCGATGTATCTTTAACCGTTATTCAGCAAGATAAGAAGCGGTACCAAAAAGTGCTTCTTCCAGTTCATACAAAAGGCACAAGACCGGTTCTACGAAAGTTAAGGAGCTCTGCTGCAGAAGGTGACTGGATTGTCTCCGAAATCAAACGAGCTGTCACAATGTTTGGGGAGATGCTCAAGTATGAAGATGTTGCTATTCTGCTACGATCTGCATCTCTTTCAAGGCATATTGAATCAGCTTTAGGCAAGGCGGGGCTGGCCTATCGGATGATTGGCGGCCACAAGTTTTACGAACGAAAGGAGATCAAAGTTCTACTAGATTATCTGCGTGTCGTAAATCAGCCGGATAACAATGACTCGGTTGCACGAATCATCAACGTCCCCCGTCGAGGAATTGGAGACACGACAGTCAAGCGTCTCATAGAAGAGGCCGAGCAGCAAAAAATGAGCCTGTGGTCGCTGTTGAGAAAGCACTGTCAAGGCAGCCGCAAAGCAACGACAAAGATATTACCCAAGATGGAGCAGAAGCTCAATGCCGAACTAATAAGAATGGTATTGAATCTTCAAAGCCACGCTCAGCAAATCACCGAAAATAGCCACCAAACGTTGATTAATTTTATTGAGAAGCTACTATCGCAGCTCGATTTCAAGCAATACCTAGAGTCAGAGTATCCAGAAGATCACGAGCAGAGATGGCAAAACGTTCAAGAGTTCCTCAGCTTGGCCAATGACTTTGTACGGGACTCAGCAAACGCAGATGAGGAGCTGTTGCCAGAGATCGAGGATGTTGATCAGGCCAAAGACGACAGCACCCTGGGCCGATTCCTAGCAAACATAGCGCTAGCATCCGATGCTCAGAAAAATGATGAAGGGGCGGAGAAGAAATCAGTGATTACTATATCAACCATCCATGCCGCCAAGGGGCTCGAGTGGCCCATAGTGTTTATACCAGCTGTCTACGCCGGTTCAATTCCTCACTCCAGAGCGGAAGACTTGGATGAGGAAAGACGACTGCTTTACGTAGCAATGACCAGAGCGCAAGTGCTACTCTATCTCAGCTGCCCTTTGTACGGATCCCAGGGCATGAGTGGCAAGGTTGAGCTATCGCCTTTTGTTGCGCCTTTTGAGTCGACGGCTTTTGCTAAACAAGGAACATCATTTAACAGACCAATCCTAGAGGCAGCCGCAAAAATCCTTGGAAGAGATCTCCTCAGCGAGAAGGCAATCTTTGACAAGATTCCGCCCATGTTCTCTATGGAGGATAATCTGTTCCCAATCGATCCCATCGACGCAAGAGACCCAGAAGGACTTGGCGATTCACAAGGTTATCGCTCCAAGGGATCCAAACGGCAGCGGGTGAACAACCAAGGCTATGGTAGCGACGAAGAACTTGCCGAAGAACGCCAGTGGAAGAAAGAATACAGTACGACTATGGAACAAGCATCCAGCTTTACGATGGCCTCTTTGCCCGGCTTTGTATCGGCTGGAACGCATCAAAACACCCTGTCTGCGGCCGCTGCTGAAGAAGAAAAGGCAGCAGCAGCCAAAAAGGCCATAAAGATGGGCACCACCCGACGAAAAGCAGATCAGTCAAGCTTGCTCGGGTTCGTAACAACAACATCATCAAACAAGCCAGCGGCTCCAATGACTGGGTTTAAAGGCCCCGATATGTCCCTAGCTCGGTATCAGCTTGCAGCATCCCGCTCCGCAGCCCGGCTAGCTACTGAGGCGAAAGCCCCTGAGCTGCCAAAGCTTCCCGCCGTCGATCCATTATTGGCAAAACACAAACTCGTGAGCGGCAATGCTCTGAATCGGCCCAGCGTAATAAAGCAAGAAGCTGAAGACGGCAGTTCCAAGAAGCGCTACCACTGCTTCTCTAGCTCCCCGCCAAGGCCAACTGACGACGACGCCAAGGCAATCAAACAAGAGCAGGTCACTCCTACGGAACCTACTCCTGTACCAGACCGGCCTGCCACAAGCTTCCACAGGACGACTTTTGTTTCGGCCACGGCGAGAGGCGGCGTAAGACGTCCAGTGGGCTTGGGCCCTCCGCCGGGGATTGATAGGGTTCGCAGGCCGTTTAAGCCGTTGACGATAATGCGCCCAGCGAAGCAATGACAGCAACAAGGAGAATTAGCAATGGAAATATATAGATTTATGTACATGAAGTCTTTGTTAAACGGTTTTGGACTGTTAATATAGAAATGATGATGACAAGTGGGAGGTGATGTGCTAATGTGGATGCTCGGAAGCATAACGACAGCCTTACGAATAAGCATAACGACTTTGGCGGAGTTTGAGTAATGGGGCGCGAACAAGGGTAGAGATATATAGACGTTCGATAGAAGCCAGTCCATGTTGATGAATGTAAAGCATCAGCACGAATAAATCATCACTTGAGATCACTTAACTTGTCATTGAAACAGGCAAAAATGCCGCCGTATTTGGTTACTTCGTCTAACACAGAAATGAATGCTTCTTTTAGCCGTTACATTAAAGGCCATCACCTTCCTAGTCAGTGTAAAGACAAGCTGACCATCGGCCCCCCCTGTAACCTGACTATAAGTAATAGTCGCCTTGTCTTTTACGCTAAGGAAAGATAACTTATATAATAAATAGATTACCACTGCACACTATATATATACCACTAAACTATTAAATAAATTAAAGAAATAGAAAAAAATTTTAGTAGCTATTTAATAGTTACTTTTTAGATAATTAATTTTCTATTATTTATTTAATTTCTTTTTTTTTTTTTACCCTATAGAATTATTTTAAAGATAGTTTATAATTAAAAGCAATATATAAAAGAAAATATTTATACTCTTTAAATTAATTTTAAAGTAATTTATAAAGAGGGAGTAACTTAATTATAGTTTATTAAATAAAGCGGCTTTAAATTAATTTACTACTAATATTTACTTTTTTCTTACTTAAATAAAAAAATTTTACTTTACTATTATTATTTACTAAAGCTATATATATATATTTTACTTTTAAATAGCTATATATATAGAATTAATTTTTAAATACTTTAATAGTAAATTTTTTCTTATAAGTATAAGAATTAATTCTCTCTTTTATTAAAATATCCTTTTTTTTATTAATTATAATAATATTTAAAATTAATTTTTATTTAACTTATAGTAATTTATTAACTAATTTTTTAATATATTATATAATAGCTAATTTTAAATTAATTCTTATATTATAGTTTATATATATAAGGAGATAGGTGGGTATTAGTAATATATTACCCTTAATATAAATACTAAGCGCCCTTTATATAATAATATAGTAATACTATATTTATAATATAATAAAGTAAGAATTACTTCCCTATTAGCCTTAAATAAGCTTTAAATTAATTTAAATTAAGATAATTAATTAATTCTAATGCTTAGTAAGGTTTTTTATTATTACTTAGAGAGTAAGCTGTAAAGTGTATTATAATTTTAATTTTATATTAATAACTAGCTATTTAAGTTATTTAAAGGAGCGTAAAGAAGTAAACTTATATATTTAGTTAATTAAATAAAATTATTTATAAAATTTAATAATTTATTATAGATTATTTTAAGATTTTAATAATTTATTCCTAGCTTATTAAATTATTAAAATAATTTAATAATTTATTTATAATTAATAGGTTAGTCTTATATTAATCTAGTTTTACTTACCCAGTAGGCCTATTAGTGTAATTATAAGAGATAGGTTATGATATAATACTTCCCTCCTGTTAGTTTTATTTTTAAGATTTAGTTAATCTTAGTATAAATAACATATCCCTTACTTAGTAAGTGTGGTTAGTTTTTAATTTCTTTTACTAGTATTTCCTTAATTTCTTTATATTAACCTTTATTATATTAAATAAGATTTTTAAGTTAGTTTATTTAAAGATTATTAGTTATAAGTTATTATTTTATTTTATTATTATTAGTGCTAATAAAATAAATAAGTATTATTTATTTTATATTTTAAAGAATTATTTTAAGTGTTTATTATTACTTAATAATTCCTTATGTTATTTAAAGTGTATTTGCTTTAATTAATTATATTATAATATTTAAGGTTTATTTTTTAAATAGTTAAAGTAAATTGCTATTTATTACTTTTATTTAAAGGATAAGCTTAAAAAGGCTAAAGAAGAGTGTTACTGTGCTAATGCTAAGGTTAAGTGTCTTTATAAGTAAAAGAAAATATAATATATAAAAATAAGGTAAGTAATTACATAGGGTATAATAGATTTAAAGGAGCTGGATTAGGTTAAATGCAAGGAGGCGGAGGCTGCTTATTAGGCTGCTTTATTAGCGCTTAATTCTATCTTTATTAGCCTATCTTAGTCTATAGGCGCTATTAATTAATCTGCCTTTAAATTAGACCTATTATTATTTTTACCCTTAAAGATTAATGAAATTCCTATAGAGTTATTTAGGCGTTCCTCTTAAGTTCTTATTCTAGGACTTAAGAGTCTTTGCTAGGGTTATATTCTTTTTATCTTATAAGGTATTCCTATTCTCTTATTACTTTATTTATTTATATATAAATAAGTTTTTTAATTTTATATTTTTCTTTAATGTCTTAAATAATAATTTTATTTATAATTAATTTACTTATTTCTTTATTTACTAGTGCTTTCTTAAGTAATAATATATAAAAGATAGTTATTTTTAGTCTTATATTCTTAGGTAAGTTTAATTTATAGTTAACTTTACTGATTTTTTTTAGAATTTTAAATAGTTTAAGTTTTTTAAAATTTAATTTATTACTTAGCTTATTTATTTTAATATTTAGTAATTTTTTATTGTGTGAATGTTATAGTAAGTAGACTATATCTCCCTTTTAAAGGGTTAGTTTTTTAATTTTTATTTAGTTAGTGTATTCCTTTATGCGCTATTTAAAAAATTTAAATTAAACTTTAAGTTCTTTTTATAATTAGATTATATTTTCTATAAGTATATATATATTATTTGCATTTAGACTATTATAAGGTAGTCTATAGGCTTCTAGGGTAAACCTATAATTTATATAAAATAGTATAACTCTTATGGTTTTTATAGTAAAGCTATTATATTATATTTAAGTAATTAATAGTATTTTAACTTAGTTATTTTATTAGAGGTTAATATAGTATTATAAGTATACTTTAATAACTTAATTTATTTATTTTATTTATTTATTTATTTATAAATAGAATGCGGTACTTAACTTATAATAAGTTCTAAGTTTAGCTATTAATTTTTATTAAAATTTAAATGTAAAGGTGCTTCCTTTATTTAATATAATTTCTTTTAATATTTTATATTTAGTAAATATATATTTTATATAAAGATATATTAAGTTTTCTATATTATATACTTTCTTATATAGTAAGAAGTATACTTACTTTAAGAGTTTATTTATAACTATAAAAATACTATTAAATTATTTTTTAATTAGTAGATTTTTTAATTTAGGTAAGTTAGTAATATAGTTAAATATAATAGTATACTAATTCCTTTCTAAAACTGGGATTAATTATAATATTTTATATAGCTAATGCCTTTTATTTTTTATTTTCTTATATATATTATATTTTTAATAACTTTTAAAATTTTATTCTTTATTCCTGGAAATTTATAGTATTATACTGCATAGTTTTATATTATATAAATATTATAATATATAGCTGTGATTATACTTTAATATAAGTCTTAGATTACTTTAATTTATAATTTTAGTAATACTTAAATTTTTCCTTTTTATTTTAGTAATCCTTCTTTAATAGTTATTTCTTTTAGAAGTTTATTTAATTTTATTTATACTATATATTTTTTTATTTTATTAAAAATAGGGTTATATTCTTTTATAATAAATAAAGTGTTAACTTATATTTACTTATAGTTTCTTTAATAATTTTTTCTTAGAATTTAGGCTTTAACTTCTAGGATTTCCTTAAAGTGTTTTTCTTTTTTACTTAAGGCATCTGCTTATCTATTAGTAGTGCTATTATAATAAATAAATTTATAGTTAAAGTTTAATAGTATTTTAAAATAATAAGTTTATTATATAGAGAGTTTTTAAGTTTTAATAAAGTATATAATATTATAATAGTTAGTGTAAACTTTAACCTTATATTTACTTTTTAAATAATAGTGTTTTTATTCCTTAAATACTTTAAGAATTACTATAAATTCTTTATTATAAATAGGATACTTTAATTTTAGTTTATATAGTTTTTATAAGAAAAATATTATTGGATAGTTTTTCTTATTTTTATTTTTTTATATTAGTACTCCCTTAATAGTAAAGTTTAATAAGTTAGTTTTAATTTCTAGTGGTTTATTAAAATTATATATAATAAGTATAGGTTTACTAAGAAGTGTGTTTTTAAGTTATTTAAATGCTTTTTTTATTTTTAATTTATATATAAGTTTTTTATTTTTTAATTTTTTTTTGCTTTTTTTATTTTCTTTAAGTTAAGTGGCGTTAGTAAGTAGCTTTGCGATTTTACTATAGTTTTTAATAAATTTTTAATAGTAATTTACTAGGCCTAGGAAGCTTTATATTCTTTTTCTTATATTAAGTAGCTTTTAATTTTAAATTACTTTAAGTTTATTTAAGTTTATATGGACTTATCTTAGTAAAATTAAATGTCCTAGGAACTTAATTTCTTATATATAAAAGCTATATTTCTTAAGTTTTACTAATAGGTTAGTGTTTTATAATATTTATAGTACTTTATAGATATATTCCTTATGTTTTTTAAGGGTTTTTAAGAAAATAAGGATATTATTAAGGTAAATAATTATAAAGTTATTAATATATACTTATAGTATATAGTTAATTATTTATTAGAATATTGCGGGTATATTAGTTAGCTTAAATAGCATTACTAAGTATTTAAATAATTTATAGTGTATTTTAAATGCTATTTTTTATTTATCCCCCTTATAGATATAAATTAAGTTATATGCTCCCTTAAAGTCTAAGGCAGTAAATTAATTTACACTAATTAAGCGGTTTTAAATTTCTATAATAAGCGGTAGTAGGGTTTAATCTTTAATAGTAATTTCATTTAGCTATTAGTAGTTAATAACTAGTCTAAGTTTTTTATTTTTCTTAGGTATAAATATAAT